ACCCGATACCAAACGCCACGAGACGTTTGACTTCGGGATAAATAAAGATAGTTGTTGCGCCCTTCCGTCGACTCATCCTTCCCCGAGTCTGGACGTAACACTATTTTCATAAAAATTAATATAGTCACGTTTCTAATAAATTACTTAATGATAGTAATTTAAGAATTAATTTTTTTTTCTTAACTTCGAATACTGGGACGTGACAAGATATACCGAAAGTTTTCATAACACACCAAGGAAATTGAGGAACAACGCTTCTCGGCACACAGAGATAAGATCGCTATGTACGCAAGTTTCCTTCGTTCGGAACGACTTAGTTACGTGCCTGTATCGCCGTATCGCTCATGCAGCTTGTCAGTGCTAGCAACGAGTGACAGGTCCCCCCGATCATTTGACAGTTGTAATTATTTAATCTCAATATAACCCTATGAGTTAATTTTTAGTGTTTTTCTTCCACAAAAGTATTTACAAAGTGCGATGGAAGAATTGAATATTGAAGTGCCATTAATGTCATCTCCTGTGAAGAAAAATAAACAAGGCCAGGTAAACAATGATGAAAAAATTATAAATTAATTATTATTATATAGTATATCGGAGATTGTAGTTTTAAAGTTTAAAGTGTCCTTTTATGAGTTCACTACGAGAAAAATATGTTGAAATTTAATAAATTGTTTGAATAAGGCTATATTGGTTATAAGGTTTATAAGGTTAATTTTTCATTTATATTTTCAGTTGATCCACAGCAATCAGAAGCTTATTATTATTAATTCGCATAAAAAATTGAAAAAAGACAATCAAGAAATTTCAAATAAAGATGCTGTTACTCAATTGACAGAACTACTTGGTTTAATGTAATTCAAATATATTACAACTCTTGCTCTTATAATTGCCTGTCATATTATTTTTTATTTTAGTTTCGTATCGCGTGTAAGAATCAGATTTCTATTTTATATCATATTGAAATTAATCGAGATTATTTCATCCGTTTAATTTTTTAAACTGACATGAGATAATAGTCCCGGGCCCGAGGGAGCCGTATCTACGTATACGGTATTGAGTATCTCGCCATGTTCTCCCCACTTGGCCGCTTATGCGCGAACCGAGGTCATTCTCTTTTTGGATAGAGTATAGATTGTACTAATCATGTACATATGTATATATCACGTATCTTCTATATACATAGATCTGATTACATTTGCATGTATCTATCACATACAATGTATGTGTATGTTACGTCCAGACTCGGGGAAGGATGAGTCGACGGAAGGGCGCAACAACTATCTTTATTTATCCCGAAGTCAAACGTCTCGTGGCGTTTGGTATCGGGTCGAACGAACTGACAGATCCGAAAAGCAGGTAAACGACTGAGTCGCTATTACACTGTTTTCCGAAGTTCGCTCGGCGGTCCCTTTTCGGTCAGAGAATTTAATCTCTTTTACGCGGGATGGGACCAAGTGCGATCTTTCTACTAGGAATGAGTGGGGGTTAATAAAGAGTTATTTAATTAACAAATATAAATTTATTCAATTTTAAAATGAATGATGGGTATACATGATTATAAATAAGAAAGAAAAAATAAAAATAAAAATATTAGTTTTCATCTGAATGTGTGTGAGTGTGTGTGTTAGTTCGCGGGTGTTACATTAATACGGAGGACATCAGTCAGAAATGCAATGGAATGATTTTACTGTTAAATTTAGATTCTGACTGGGTGATACAATATAAAAATATATTTGATTAAAGGATAAAAACATAAAATCAAAATCAATATGTATAAGTAAATAAGTGTATATGTTAAGAACGGTCAGAAATATAAAATTGGTCACTCGCATATGTGTTAGATTAAGATCAAGATTTAAAATTTTCTAAGACTTATTACCGAAACGGGTTGATGATTTAAAAGAATGAAACATTCTTCGGAAAATTTTAATTTAAATAAGAAACAAGACAAAAAGAAGGAAAAGAAAAATTATTCAATTAAACTTACTTTTTTCAATAGTAATTCAGAGGTGGAGGGGTGGCGAATTTTTGTACGGTGTTTCGCTCTGTGTCTCATGTCGGCAACCCGATGTTCGATTCGTGGTTGCTCTAGAGATAATGCCAAGTGAGGACACTGGTGGCACAAGTGCCTAACTCGCGAATTACGGTGCAAAAGCACAGAGTAAGACTGCGTGAAGCTGAAGACTGGAGAATAAGTGCGTAAGTCTGTTCGAGTCTTCTTTTTATATCTCTCTTTTCGGGGTGTATTCTAATTTCTAAGAGTGGGAATCTTCCAAAACTTCGACGAATTGAATTTGCGCAGAAGTGGGAATTTTTCAATCTTAGCAAATTAAAAATGTGCCAGTGTCTTCGTTAGGCGGGGTGTTCCTCCTACCTTTCGCGTTTTACTCGTAGTGATCGTCCATTGGTGAGTTCGATATTCGTTCGGAGATTTCTTGCACGTGTTCAGATTAGAAAAAAAGATCCTATTCTTCTATGATAATTTTATTGCTATTGGTGCAGCTGTGTTTATTGAATATTTGTTGGAAAATTTTATTATTATAGATGCAGCTGTGTTTGTTGGGTATTTCGTTAGAAAAATTTATATTACCTTGAGGAGACCGGCATATTTTTATCATCGATCTTTTACGTTGGTCTGTTTACTGAGCGATTCGTTTGTCTCACCAATCGACGATCGTTGCCGACACTTCGCGGAAGGAAGGAATCGTGGAATCACCAGGACGTAACATGTATTTAATCCATGAAATATATGCATGGAATATACAATATACATAAATGTATATACATTGTATATATTATGTATATTTTAATGTTTTTTGGGTACATTCGCTGAAAATACATATATTGTTTCACTAATATACGCGCGATTATAAGTTTTAAGGTAAAAAAATTGTATATTATGGAACCACTAACTCTTAATTATCAACATTTTTTGTTCTTGCAGCTTGTGGACTATGATTTAAGTAAGTATGGTAACATTTTGAAATGGTTTGTCAGGATTCAGGCCGAAGCTCCTAAATATAATGAGATCGAAGACGAAGGCATGAAAACATTTAAAGAATTTTTCGATAATAGTAGAAAAAAGAAATAATTTTTTGACACTGATTTAATGTTTGCACAATGCAAACATTGTATGGTACTTTACTATCTTTATTAATATTTATTGATTTATGTATTTTTATTACTTTTATTAATTTTTATCTGCATTACTCTCTCTTACATATATTTTTATATTATATCTATTATATTTATATAGTTTCTATTTTGTGCAAATTAAAAAAATATAATTATTAATATAGATTAAAGAAAGTTAATTCTAAGATATGTAGAAAGTTTTCGAGAAAAATAGAAATTACATGTAAAAATCTAAACTTTAAATAAAATTAAAATATTTATTTTATTATTAAGTTCTATTTTATTAACTAATCCCGAATTGTTTTAAACAAAACTAAAATAAGCTTAAAACTATAACAAAACGTAATATGAGAAATAAAAAAATTCAAAAATATTATGTACTTTTTATTATAAATAAATTTTATCTTATTGTTAGATAATTTTCTATAATAAATAATATAAAATTGTATCAATACATTTGTTCTCATGATCGAAAGAAAGCCGTCACCGATGTGACAAGTTTTGTACGCTTAGGAAAAAGAAAGAAAGAAAATGCTTTGCGAATTACTTGCACACAAACGCTTCTATCGCTTCGTCCGTATCAAACTTCTGATTGCTTAAAGCTTCTTTATAACTAGTCCAGTCACTTCAGAATTTCTCTTCAAAAAAAGTCCAAGCCAGCTGAATTTTGGTATGTATTTTCATTTAGTAGTTATAAATAATATATCAAAAATTCCCATCAATCCATCGTACGAGAAAAAATATACAGCAAATAATAGGTGTAAAAAATGAGTTTCTAGTAAATATCTCCGTATCTATTGGTCCTATGATTAAAATCTCGCAAACCCAAAAATTCTAATTTTGATGAATCTTTACACATATAGCGAACCCGAAAATTCTGATTTTGATGAAACTTTACAGACATGGGGGGGGGGTAAATAGATAAATTTAGAAATTTCCAGTTGCGGTCTAAAAACGATTCTAAGGGGTGAGATCATATGTAGAACGGCTTTTTTTCTTTTCTCAATATATCTCGAAAATTGTTCGAGATATCAAAAAATATTTCATGGTAAAAACACTTCTATTAAACCACATTAATAAAATTTTAAAAAAATATTTTTTTTCAAAGACTTTTGCCCTTGTTAGTCTAGAATCTTTGATTCTCTAGTGCCAAAACGGCTTATTTGTGGACACGGATTTAACACAATTGGATTGCTTTAGTATCTTTTATAACCATCTGAAGTTTGTCGATCTAAGTCTGGGACATCCTGCATATATTACATATATGTAAGAGAGACGAGAAAATATTAAATATTATACATACTTCAAAGGTAAAGTTGTAAATTCTTACCTCTATATTGGCCACTTAACAATGAGAAAACTTTTAGCATAGTTTGAGGGCTCTGCCTTTGGAGAATCTTGACCAAACTCGTGGCATGGCTTTGTTATGAACAAAAAGTCTTTGCGGCAAGTGACCAAAGCAAAATTTTCCTCTCTCTACTTAAAACCCTGTTAACAGGTAAATTCTACGTTATTGATCGGTGCTGTAGACTTGTTATATATAAGTATGCGTAATATTATTTTTTAATAATTATAACATGAGAACTCCCACTTATGTTTATCGTATTTTGTCGGTAATTACAGAGATACAGAAAATGTAGGAAATATTCGAGTAAAAACTTCGATCTTCCCTCTTTTTTCAACGCTAGCGATTTATGCGTCAAATGTAGTGTATAAAAAAATATAACGCTTATATTAGTATCACATTTCTTAAAAATTATTCTAGCATTTTTAAAATTACATATATGTATATAGTAGAAAACAGAAATATATTTTTTCTCAAATGCTTGCTTAAATTGTACTTTATACTTTTTACATATAAAATATATATATATAAAGAGCTATCTATCCATCTATTTCTGATAAAGGTCAGACATCGCTTATGTTCGTAATACTGAACATGTCAGTATATCGATTGATGAAAAGCTCGTAACTTTATCCAGTTCAGTCTTGCACGAACCTGGAATCGCATGTGTATTCTCTTTTTCGCGAAACAAATATTTTCCTTATGAAATAATTTGTAATTGATAACAAGGTGTTTAACTTGTAAACGCGTTTTGCACACACCAATATAAGTAAAAAAAACTTATATATCGATAAAAATAACTAATTTTGAATAAAGTAAGACCAAATATGCCTGTGCAACTGTATTATTTGCCTCCGAGTCCACCATGCCGAGCCGTAATGCTCACGGCAGAAGCGATTGGGCTCGAAATGGAACTGATAATGCTGAACATACAGGCTGGTGAGCATTTGACATCGGAATATGAACAGGTATAAAAATTAACAATATATATCGTGGAATTAATAGATAAAATATGAATGTCTAAATTAAGAAACTGAAGAAGCACATGTCAATTGGTTAATACATAAAAAGCACAATTCTCTTTTTTCTAGTTGAACCCACAGAAAACGATCCCCTTTCTAGTCGATGACGATGTCAAGATATCAGAAAGGTTTGTAGAAACATTCAAATGATATATCTATCTCCTTTGCGTTGTCTTGTTCATTAAAGTACGATGTTCTAGTCGAGCTATTATGTCTTATCTCGTTGATCAGTACGGCGAGAATGATACATTATATCCGCAAAATCCAGAGGCACGTGCTCTAGTCGATCAACGATTATACTTCGATCTTGGCACGCTCTACGCGAGCGTGTTCCATTATTACGTACGTCATATACTTAATTATCGTTAAATAAAACGGCTGCGGTCTCACGATGAATTCCGTCACAGATGCCCGTGTTAAGAAAGCAGACCGATACATACGATCTGGCGCAATATGAGAAAATGACGGAGGCCTTTCGAATTTTGGACAAGTTTCTCGAAGGACATGATTACGTGACCGGAGATTATTTGACGATCGCCGATCTTGCCTTGGTCTCATCTGTTACCACAGCAGAGGTGATACCCTGTTGGATATTATGCAAAGTCAATAATCAACTATTTCTAGAATAAACTATAACACGATAAACTATTATATTCACCTTTTTTTTGTAGAACATTTTTCTTTGATAGATATTTTTGAAAGATTATATGCACTGTTTTATACATTGTATCTCTCTCAATAATTTTATTGATATTCGAATCAAATTGTTACTTGCCAACATGATATATCCAAGATTTATCTTTAAGATATTTAAACATATCGATTAATTTACTACATCAGGTTTTTGGATTCCACTTGGACGATTATGAAAATGTTACCAATTGGTTGGAAAAAGTTCAAACATTTGCACCTGGATACGAGAAGGCTAACGGCGAGCCACTCGAAATATTTAAAAAATTCGTAGAAGACTCACGAGACGAAAAAAAAGACGAAGAAAAAGAAGGAGAAGAAGAAGAAAAGGAAGAAGCGGAAGAAGAAAATGAAGAAGCAGAAGAAGAAAATGAATAATATATTATATCAAATACATTATTTCTAATTGTTTGCGAATACAAGGCAGTGAATAAAATACTTGCATAGCACTTTAATGTGATGCTCCCAATTAAATTTCAATTATATAATAATTGTAAAGAAAAGTAATCTCTGCTATGAAAAAAAAACAACTTTATTTAAGCTTATATGTGGGATAATCATATATCATTTTTTAAAACTTTTCTTTCAGATCTTTGTATTTTCTAAGCATACTTTATAAATACAAAATAATATGAATAAGAGCAAATAAAAAGGAAACAATGCACAGGATGAAATAGAAACTAAATTATTACTGTAATGATAAGTTTTAATATCATATTAATGAGTAAATGTAAAAATAATATTTATTTCATTTTTTCAAATTTGTCATTATAACAATATCTTAAATCTTATTAAAATTCTTATCTGTTGAAAACTTGGAATGAAGACGTAAGTAGTTGCCGACTGATGGCTTTTACATTCTTGGATTCGTACCCAATGTATGGTATTTCACCTCTTATATCATACGTCGAACAGTAATCTATTGTAGATCACAAGAATCAGTATTAATAATTTTTAATTTATCTTTACGAGATAACTCGTTACTTTTTATCTAATTATTTACATATTTTCTTCAATAATTTTTTATCCATTATTCACGTAAATTTATCTCATTATTGTTGCCCAATCTTCAAAAACAATTTTGTATGGCTCTTTTTATATATTGTTTTAAAATATTGTTTGTCCACAAACATACTGTCACAATAATCATGTGAACAATTACTACTCTGAAAAATATGTAATTTATGTGAGTTTAAAATGAAAAAAAAGATTATAATCATGAAGGTTAGGTATCCCTTGTATAACTGCTAACTTACCGACACGAATATATCTAATAATGCAGAAAGTGTTTCTCCTTGATTTTAAAATTTAATTAGGCATGCACACCATATAAACCAAATGTGATGATGGTATCTGGATAATTTTTTTTTAATTTGATGCTAAGAATCTCTTCTATAATGTTATACTTTAAGTCTATATATTTTGTCCGCTCATTTGTCGTAATAATGTAAAATACGACATTGCAGTGCTTAGAATCTGTTGCATATACACATATATACATTAATAATTAATCTTATATCGTTGATACGTTTTTACCTTTCTAGATGTAGGATTAGATATATAGATTTAATTATAAATAAAGGGCTATAATTAAATGCTTATTTTAGAAATTTATCTTCTACTTTCTGCAAGCTATAAATTTAAAAAATTTAGATAAGAAAAATGCTCAGACTATGTTACGACTAAATATTATTAAAATTTTTCATTAACTATTTTATGATCAAGCGAAAAAATAAAATGCAATTTGTATAATATTGCATCAAAAAGATATATCGTGGCGCTACTTACAATTTACAATAAATAAACTTCTTTGCCGGGAAAGAAAAGAGATTTGTCGAATTACACTTACCCCGGTAAAAGTGTCCAAAGATACAGACGCAAAACTCCCAGCAGTTAATACACATGGTCGACGTGCTCTAATCATGATCATAATTAAACCTTTCCTCACTGCCTTTCCTGGACCATTGTTGGGTAAAAGATACCACTTGGAGTTATAAGCGGCATCGGAGATGGCTGTGCTTTGCACGATTATATCATTACACGTCCATGTATAAATAAGTAACTGGATAAGACCGCCCACAAAGTGGAAGGCAAAAATGCACTTTCTGATAGCTACATCCGCCACCTGCGAAAAAAATTTTTTGCAAAGAATTTTAGAAGATAAGATATTCTTACAATTAGTAGAAGAGAAACCTCTATATGTATATTCTTTCAGCTCTAGCAGCTCTGATAAAATGTACTTAAATGTTAAGAAATAGAAGATATATATATTTCAGAAATATATAGGGGAAAGTAGAATAAAATCGGATACTTTTTTGGATTTATCTTTCTACAAAAAATCTGAGAATAAAAAAATTTTGCCGACCGTTAGTAGTCTTTAGTGAACTTTGAACTATGAGAAAATAAGGCTAGTTGTTAAAAAAAAATTTTTGGTTACCAAGAATAACAAGATTTTGTGGAGAAGTCAAAGTACCAGGTTTTGTCCTACCGGTAGGGTCAAACCGGGTACCCACTTGAAAATATGTAAAACACCTTGTAATTACAAAATTTAGATTTATTTTAATCAAAATACAATACAAAAATGTATTCTATCGACAAAAATCACGAATAAAGAAATCCTCTTGTTCGAGATTGCTGCAGGACTTCCTTATTTAACTTTTTAATTGTAGGGGTCTCAAAAAATTTTTTTTTAGTAATTTCTTTTTCTGAGTGTTAGTTTTCGTTTCCAACTGCTTTTTGTAGTATAAAAAAAGTGCACGACGACTCGATTCTTGCCTCGATATCGATCTTTTTGGGGCTAAAAGCTCTGAACTTCTGTTAAAAAAGAAATATCGTGTGCACAAGGGCACGGTTTGTTTTAAAATAATGATGGTGCCAATCTACAACTAATAACACCGAGGGGTGTCTCATTCGACCAAAAATTTGTACATGTATTGCGAATTTCCGGGAATTATCCAAGTAATTCCATGTAATACGCTGTGTAATTTTAAGTAATGCGACGGACAAATTTACATTTGAGTTCAACTATAGAAGACGTACTTTCAGATGAAAGATCATTATTTTGAGTTTTCTTCTTTTATTTATTGGCCCTTAGGTTGGCACTCCTTTTATTTAGTTCCTTTTTAGTTTTAAATGACATTTCTCTGGACATTCCTCTTACTCGTAATAATCTATCTGTAGATAATCGGCCGCATTTTGTATCACAAAACTAACATAGTGTCGATTTTCTTACCAACAATATCTTAATTCTAATTTATTTCATTAAATTTAATAAATTATCTTTTTTTGCGCTTGTTATCTATTTATTTGAAATATTGATAAATAATCATAAATTTGACTTTCAGAGAATTATTCACGCGTATCTAAAAGACGTTTTAAAGACGTTATAACGACATTATTTTTACTTTTTAAGACGTTCTAATCTTGTCTGGGTTATTATTGTTTTGTGCTATAGGACTTGTAAATCAATGCGAAGTAATGTGGCGTAATGCGAATACGACGTAATGCGAAGTAATGCGTAAGTAATTCCAGAAAAAATTTACATGCATTGCGACAGTGAGACACCCCTCGAATAACACAAGTTAGCCATAATTAGCAACCCTTATTACGAAAAAACAGGGGTACCCGATTTGACCCGCCTACCCGGTTTTACCCAACTTTCCCTTATATGTTGATTTTGATAGATTTTTTCTTTAGTAGCAAACTTATAATTATTTTTAAAAAATTTAATTTATTTTTT